CCTTGAGCTCTTCACATTTGTAATAAATCCCGACCAGTGAAACCGCTATTCTGGCAACAGCAAGCCATCGGGTGGTGCTGAGGCCGCTATTTTTTCTCTGCTGCTCTTTGGGCTTTCGCCTTCTGTAGTCGGGGCTGGCTCAGGGGCAGCTGTGGTGGCTTTCGCCTTATTTTCCGCGAGATAAGTCTCGGCCGCTTTCTTCTGTTGTTCCCGTGCCAGCCGCGTTCTTTCAGCAACCATTTTTCCAGCGGCCACACGCTTTGGATTTTTTACACACTGCGTAGTTGTTGCAGTCGGAGTTGTCACTTGATGTGTGATATCGCCAGCAGGTGCTGCCTGGGTCTCGCCCTGCGTATGCGCCGTGACGGCAGGTGCGCTCTTGGATTGTTTGGTAGACATTCTGAAAAAACCTGTATTCTAAGCAAATGAAAAATGTTTAAATTGATAACATTTTTTTTTGTCAGCAATCCCTCACCAGTTGTTGATGATTGTTGACCAGTCATTTTGCAGTTGCTGAGCCGGGTACTTCATCAACACCCTCAAGCGGATAGCCGTATTCATCACGAGAAGGGTGGCTCTGCTCCGACAAATCCTTGACCACTCAAGGCTGTGGACTAAAATCAACATGTTTAGTGGTGATCAGCGCCGCGTTGGCCACAGCAAGAAACTGGCTGCACTTCAAAGCAAGGTTGCCGGCCATATTTGAGAGCTCTTTTTTTAAGATGTAGTCGTTTCTGAGTTCGTTTTGATAAGCATCGATGTCTTTGATGTTGACGACCATTCCGACTGCTTTGGATAGAAGAAATATGAAGCTGTCCATCAAGCTTTCTGTTGTCTTTCAGCCCACGTAAGTCTCATAACTTCTGCTAACGCGGCCTCTTCTTCAGCCATTGCACAAGGCTACATATACAGCTTTCATTTTTTTATCCAAAACAACTTTACCCCGTAGGGGTGGCGAAGCGCGAACACGAGATAAGAGAACTTTCGCTCTTTCAGCTTTGAAA